CCCAAGTTTCCCGTAAGACCAGCAGAAGGCCTTACCAACCAGCTGGTTGGCACCTTGCCTCATAAAAACTCCCAAATAGGGGCTTAATCTGATACGACCAGGAGGAGACCTTATCTAAAGACTCCCAAACAGGGGCTTAATCAGATCTCAATTTTCAACTTGAGATATACTGGTAACTGGATGGAGCCCAGATTTCCTACTCACTTTTCCTACCCACATCTCTCAATTTGTAATAGAGATGTGTGGCTCCAATTCACCACGGGTAGAGAATGGATAAGAAAGGTGAATAGGAAATCCCGAGTGAATTGGATGATGTCCTCGGTGATTGAATTCTTTTGGTTAGGAGTGATCATTTCGCCTAGTTTGGGCCCACATAGGTCAGGATTTGGCTCAACGTTTCTAAGCCCGATAGGTTTGGCCTGGCCCAGAATGTAATATATTCAGCTCCGGAACCAGAAAGCCTGATCCCCACTCCCCCACCCCAGACCTTTATAGGATTAGGTCTGATACTAAATTTCAGGTCCAACCGGTCTGCCCGATGTGCAGGTCAATCCGGACCTGAGCTTCCAAGATGCCCATGGTATCAGGTACCCGGCCCAGGATTTGATTCTTGGATGTTTTGAAGTTTACCTTGATTGAAAGATAATTTGATCATGTGAGCTTCAATTTGAGACCTTGAGCTAGGCATGGTCAAATCCAACCCAGCTTGCATTGCTTGGCCGTCCAAATCAAAATGTTTTGGGACAGCATATAAATATTTAATATAATAAGTTTGGTTGAGCCCAGTCCCACTTCAAACCAACCCATATGTGGTCTGGGCCTTATGTTGAAGACCTTAGGCACTCGACTTTGCCCGGATATGTTGATTTACAATTTTATAATTTTTATATAAGGTTTGTTCTGATTTTAAACATAAAATTTATATTTAAATTTGGTCTAATAAGTAATAACAAACTCAACCTGACTAACATATGGGGCCAAGTCCAGATGACAGTCCTGGTCAGTAGAAGTGGTCCGGAAGTGGGTTTGAACTACTTAAAAATATATTTTTAAGGTTATATTTTTTTTTTTTGATCAATAATACTTTCATTAATTCATCAGTAGAAAATTTACAAGTGGAAGACAAACACACTTATCTTCCAAAAGTCACAAAGAACTTCAAGAAAGGAAAAAATACAAAGATATAAAGACACTACCATTACAGCTTAGCCCAAAACAAAGAATCCCTTTCTGCCCCTTGTTTT